ATATGAATTTTACAAAGGCAGAATGCGAGGAGAATGACATGGTTCAAATATAAGCTGATGCATTGTAGAAGAATTTTGGATCACCCACAAGAACTCAACTGGTGAGCAGCTTTACTGTATTTGGGGTGTACCAGAGCAAGAAGGCATTCATCTGTTCTTCAGTCATTGTGGAGAGCTCTACCTGTGGCAATCTTTGGAAAACCTCGCTACCCTGCTCTTTCTTAGTTGTGCTCAGTTTCTGTTATAAAGGTCATGAAAACATTGCCCAAGAACTGTGCTCAGACCAACTATGAAGGGCAATTCTGAGAATGGAAATGACACAATTCTGGTATTGCAGTAACTTTAAGCAATGCCGCAGTGAAATTACCGTGTGGCATTCTCCCAGTAAAGCACGAGGAGCTGGGTCCACAGAACCGTACAGCATTTGCTGCAAATAAAACCACAAACACATTTGCTATCGCCTCTGAAAATGGCCTGATTTTATTTTGTTTGGGAGAACAGGTTACATTAGTTCTTCAATCTTTGCTTCCAATTTTTTAGGATCAGCTCCAGAAAATTCAAAAATCTGTTTCAAATACACAAAGGCAAAAATATTTATTGGCTCAAGTATTGGAAGGTGTTGAGGCATTGAGGAGCTTTGTTCTTGATTGTGAAATTAGTCCTCCTCATCCTGCACTCTTTAAAATACTTTAAATATAAAAATACATTAAACGTACTAAATTCATCATGCTAAATCCTTGTCACCCTTTCAAAATTGCTCATCCTGAAATTTTGGGAGGCCTTTAGAATTCTCCAAGATACTCCTTTAGTCTAAGAGCTAAAGCGTACAATGGTTTTGGAAATTAAATGTAGTCCTCAGAGATTTTATAGATTGGTATTGAAGATTTTAAATTCATATACACAATCTTCTGGAACTGAATTTCTTAAACTATCACAGTCCCTGACTTCTGCACAAGGAATGGCTGTAAAATTCACGCTAAGAAGCACCTTTTATGTTTCAATTTTTTCACATCACTGACTGAGGCTGCATTTTACAAGAGAGGTTGTTTTACAGTATGGAGGAGGCATTGTATAGTAGTATGTGAAATAATGGTGCATCTTAATAAGAATTTTACATTTGATGAAATGTGAAAGCCAAGACCCTCATTGCTCACTGGCCCTTTAGCACTGAGTGTATTGAGTGGTTGGGGAGGAGCAGTGTGTAGGGAAACAGGCTGAGGTGGATGAAGAGTTCAGTTTGCAGAAGAAGACAGCTATGAATGGTATTACTCCATCAGAGCGGGAGCTAGAAAAGGCTGCAGCAATCATTAGTGCATTGCAGAGAAGCGACAAGCCCCACATCTAGAGATTCTGCTTCTGCCTGAGTCCTGTTATTTCATTTCTTCCTTGACCATAAACCCCAGGATTGGACTCCATCCTGGCCCCGTTTCGCTTACCTGCTTGACCTTGAATCCACTTCTATAACAGCAAAGTGCTCTTTTGAGTCTTGAGAATAGAGTTACCTATGTGTGAGTGCAGAATTTTATGATTGATCTGGGTTGCCTGGTTTGAACCACTGCTCTATAAATAATCCCTGTGGCTTTGGCTCAGGGCAGAAAATGCCTGAGAGGATCTGAAAATGTTCTTTTTTCCTAATGGTCGGATGGCAGATGCATGGCTGCTCTGAGGCATAAAAGGAATTTCATAATCTGGTCTTAGAGGAACTTTGTCCCTTGTCCTCAACCAAAGCTATAGTGGAAACAAGGGCATGAGAGGTTTGCATTCCACCTCAGTCTCCATTTGGTTTTCTCATTGGAACTGGAAGAGTGGGCATTATTCTGTGACGACACAGGCTCCCACTTATCCTTTTTTGATACCTTCTCTCTATGGATCCTCACAAGTTCCCATCCCCTGCTCTTCTGCCACAAGAACAGCTTGATATAAGAGGAGGTGCAGGTAAAACTACCTGAGAGAAGAGAAGCACTGCAAGGATGGGTGAAAGCCTCACAGAGGCATAGTCTCCACAATTGCCACCACGTGACTCTAGATCACTGCCTAGATTCCCAGTGGTCGGTAAGGAGGTATTTTTGCTGCCTGTATGCCAATAACCTCAATCAATCTCATTACATATTCTTTTTGGGTTTTTTTTTGGTGGAACCAGGGATTGAACTCAGACCCTTGTGCTTGCCAGGGAAGTGCTTATCCCACTGAACCATCTCCCCGGCCCCAATCTCATTACATATTCTTAGCCTATCTCCTACTGCACAGGGCAGTGCAAAGTCACAGAGGGTGTGGGATGCTTGAAGATATTCTCTTCTTCTTGGAGGAGATGGCTTCTTATGGTGGAGTGTATTTAAAAATAGAAGGGAACCCTATTTGGAGGGCGCCAGGGATAGGCTATTTCTATGGCTGTGATGCTATGGCCCGGCTGTGCTCAGCTATCTGGGTAATCACCCGGGGCTCTCCAGATGTGCTAAGAAGCTCCCAGTGTGTTAAGATGCTTGGCTGCTGTGGAATCTGACTTTTCTTCCCTCTATGTACAGCCAGTCTATTTCAGGGCACTAGCGGCTGAGCAACAACACTAAAGCCGGGACTGAACAAAATGCATCTACATTCAGATAACTGCAAACATTATAAATTTACAGCTTGGAGAATTATTTCAAAGAAAGTACACTGTATAATCAGACCTGGATCATGACGTCCCACACTTGCACATCTTTGCCTCCGCCACACCCCCATTACCTTGGGCCCAAAGGCAAACTGTTGTGAATTCTTCACATAAACTGGCTTTGCCTGTTTATGAGCTTTTACACATAAAATCCTACAGTATGTATTCTTGTGTGCCTGGCTTCTTCCACTTAGCATTACACTCAGATTTATCTGC